TTAATAGTCTGTTGTATTCTTGTAACCCCTTCCATTGTGACACTTGCTGTTTTTGTACTGCACAGACGTTGATAGTTGCCTGGATTAAGGGAAACCTGAACGTTTATATCAGCAGAGAATTGTGGGACGACCTCCTCTCCGTCCTCTCCTCCCTCACCTGCTGGGAGGAGTTGGTCACAGAGTGGTCACTCACCATGGAGACCCTCACAAAGGTACAAAAGCCAGGTTTGCCTGCTGAGCCTTGGAATATGTTTGGAATCAGGAGCATGGCGCTGATGAAGTAGTGTTTATATGTTTCTGTCCTAGGTGTTGGCAAGGAATCTGTACAGTGTGGATCTGAATGAGCTCCCTCTGGACAAACTCAGTGAACAAAAACAGAAGAAACACAAAGGAAAGGGTCAGTCAGTCCCAAGAGACCTAAACAGTTATAGATTCTGTGACAAATAGAGTTGTTTTTAATATTTTATTATGAAAACAGCATATTTGCTCATTGTTTATCCTTTGTTTGATAAATATTTTACCTGTTTCTACCACAGCTATCAGTACAGAGAACCAGCGACAGGTTGTGGACCGGTCTTTTTCTCGAGGCTGGAGCAGAGACCAACCGGGTCAGGCAGCGGCCATGAGGCAGCGAAGCGCCACCACCGCCGGCTCACCGGGCATCGAAAAAGCACGGAGCATTGTGCGCCAGAAGACCGTAGGTCAGTATCATCTCGTCTTGTTGGTTTTTATTTTGTTTAGTTGCTATCTAACTGCTCTAACATGACAAATTCACTTCTGCTAACTTTGCAACTATTTTTTGCCTTTGTTTTGAGGAAATCATAGACTTGTTAAACTTTTTGATGTTTTATTTCTTTGAAATGAAGTGCATCATCCTTGTCAGCCTGTCACTTTCTCACTGTTTCCTGCAGAGTTAATCTTGTCTCACTCGTGCCTCACCTTCCTGTTCTTCTACACTTTGAAGCCTTCTCACTGACTTCTTGTTTGATTTTCACTTTTATTAATTTTTTTCTTTATTTCTTGCGTACAAATATTGATATATTTTCCTTTATCTACTCTTTTTTTTTTTTTACAGTTTTAAGCTTTTTTCTTATTATTTTCTCTCTCTGCCATCTTTGTTATTTTATTATGTTCTTTCAAATCCTCCGTCTTTATCCATAACCCCACTTGTCGTTGACTCACCTTATTCCTCACTACAACAAAACTCTTTTTCTTTCTTCCTCCTTGGTATCCTCTCTTTTCCACCTTCCAACTTCTTCAGCCCTGCGTAGCTGTTCTACGGGCGACTCTCTGCTGTCCTCAGCCTTTATCCGCAGTGCTAAGAGTGCTCCTACTCTGGCTCCGCCTCTTCCTGTCCTCCACCACCATCACCCCTTTTTACCCCCCCTTGCCGACAATCTGGCAGGTACACTGTCTTTGCTCTGCCTGCCGCCTGGAAACTGCAACCTCCTGCATGCCTGTCAGAAACCTAAATGATGCTTTTTTTGACTCGTCTTCAACAGTTTTTATGTTTTATGTAAAAAAAAACGTTTGCATGCACATAGTGTAGGCTTTTATTAGAAATTATTGAATCGAATCCACAAATACTGTTTCTTAACTAAGCCAACATAAGAAATAATGTCGTTTGCACATCAAGTTAAAAGTTTGAGTTTGTGGTGCAGTTACTTAAGTGTTTGGATGCAGGTTAGATTTTTTTTTATAGTCAATGTATCACCATTTGCCTGCATGAAGCCTGGCCTCCTTTTGTTTGTTTGTTTGTTTGTTTGTTTTCTAACCTGCATTCTTGATTTGTTCTCCTTGCTTGCTCAAGTTCTTGTCCTGTTCCAATAAATCACATCCCTGTGCTTGTTTTCCTGCAAAGACTTATTTCCTTCCTTTTTAAAGACCTTCATGTTTACAGAACTTTCACTTAATCTGATTCTAACCATTGCACTGAATTTGAGTCTTTCCATGTTCAAAAGGACAATAGAGATGCTGCTATATGTATGTTTTCTTTGTTTTTTTGTTTGTTTGTTTGTTTGTTTGTTTTAACGATACCATTTTATGAAACCTACCTGGAAGTAGATAAAACATGAAAACTATTATGCAAAACAATCTAGAAACTCTTAATGCAGTTTGATTTTAAATCTAAAACCTCTGATAAATGGTTATATAACTATTTGGGGTGCAACAATACATGTACCCGTATCGAACGTACAATACAGAGCTTTAGGTTCAATACACACTTGTATCGAACAATACAGATTTGAAATTTTTTTATTTTATCAGCCTGTCTTTTGAAGATGCTCTGTGTTGAAGGATCAGTGGATCTGTGTTCGACAACTCCGCCTAGGCTGCACATTTGACCGCAGATCCACTGAGAAACTTGCTGTTTCAGCAACATTTAACTTAAAAAAAAAAACGGTACTTTTGAGGTTAAACAAATTTTCCTAATTAATTTAAGTAAATTACAAGTTTAAAAGGGCATGGACATTTCTCTTTTTTTTGTATCGAAACAATATCGAACCGTGAGACTAAAGTATTGAACCGAACCGAATCGTGAATTTTCTGTATCGTTGCACCCCTAATAACTATGGTAACTTTCATTCATTTTGCAAAGATCTGACCTGCAGATTTTAGATTTAGCTTTTTTTCTAAGAGCTAAAATTAACAGCAGGTATTTTTCTTTTATTTTTTAGTTATAAATTTGACAGCTTACATCTTCTCATTCTGTCACTAAAATTTATGAAACTACAATAGTGGACAAATTCAACAGATATGATCCTTTGAGGCATTGATTTATGTTTTTGAACATTCAGATTTTATATCTTTGTTTACACCTGAACTGACATCACCCCTCCGTTTTATCTCTTAATCACCAGACCTGGAGGACCAGCCCATCACACTGACRTCCACTCGAATGCGCCACGCCTCCCAGAGCGACGAAGCCCCTCCCACCTCCTGTTCCGAGGTCTTCCAGGCAGGGTCCTGTGACCTGGACACCCCGGGCCCGTCCGCCCTCGCCAGGAGCAGCAGTGCCTCTGACATCATGGAGCCCTTCATCGCCGAGCGGGTCAAAGGTGAAGAACCCCAGAGGGACCCCGTTTCATTCCTGAATCCTCACCACCACCACCCCTCCACAACTACAGCAGACAGCCACACAGCTCAGCCACTCTCACAATCCCTCACCTCCCCCTCTCCCAAACCTTTTACCTTCTACAATGGTGTTTCCTTGTCCTCAAACGCGCAAAGTGACGATAGCGTTTATGACCAGCCCTGGCTTCAGACCGGCTCTCAAAGCCTCGTTTCAGGCTCTGATTGGGTAAGCCGCTGGGACTCCGCCTTCGCTTTTTCCTCTGAAAAAGAACTCGATGCGGACGAGGGGGAAACGGGGACTGAGGTTGAGGAAGACGATTTATTCTCCTCTATTAGGGACTACCTCAGTCAGAGAGGAGCTGAAAGAAAAGAAGAGGCCAGAGAAGGAGACGGTCACCTGTCAGAAAACACCGTCACTGAACCTGTGCTGGTGCAAACAGGAATTGCTAGGTTGCAGCTAGCGTACGCAGGGCAGCTAGAAGAAGGGAAACAGGTGATAAGTGAGGACAGACAGGTAAGTAAATCAGTGAGACACTGCAGTGTGGATTCCACAGAGGAGAATGAGGCAGAGCAGCGCAGCATTTATGAGTGTTTGGAGTTGCAGTGTCAGTGGCCGTCACCCATTGTTAAAGGGAGCTCGAGTTTAGAAAGGAACTCTGATGAGAACAAGGGAGTTGGTACCGGAACCGGATCGGAAGGGAAATTTGACATGTGGACAGAGTTAGAAGAAACAAAACCGGAGGAAAAGGCAGGAGAAATAAACACCAGACCCAGTTTGATCAGACAAGATTCGACCACAGCTGAACCAAACTCTGAATCTGCTTCACAAATCTCAGACGCTGCTAAAGCAAAGATCTTGTCCGGTAGCACCAAGCGACTCAGTTCTGGTTCTAGTGTTCATGTCAGCTTCCAGCCATCGACTGAGTCGGTCCAGTTCCACAACCCTCTGGAGAGTAAGGAGGCCCACTGGAAGGCCCGGCTGCGTCGACTCAGTCACTTCCACACACACAGTCATTCAGCCGGGGAGAGACTGAGCAGATCCGGGTCGGGGGGGAAGCTGGCAGCAGAGGGTGCAGGTAAGTTCGGCTCCAGAGCTGGAGTTGGCCACAAAGCAGGGTCACAGGAGAGGTTTTTGCCTGGGTCGGCTGCAGAAAGCAGCGGGGCTGTGGCCACAGATGCTGCAAGTCTGGAAAACAGGCCTGGGACTGGAGGGGACAGGCAGCATTCTGGATCCTTTACAAGATCCAACCCGGGCCCTGAGACCAGCTCAGAGGTCTTGTCAGGTAGCTCCGGTTCCTCAGGCTTGTCCACTGGAGTGCGTGGACGCCTGGGACGCTCCGCCTTGCGATCCCGAGTGTCCCGCTCTCGCTCCCAGGAGCCCGGCTGCACCGCCTCTCGGCACCACCAGGGGGCTCTTCTTGGTGGCGTTTATAAGAGTGTTGTCCATGCTCTGTCCTCTAAACCTCGACCCAGAGGTCAGGGATCGTCGCAGGGTTCTTCACCGCAGCGACAGAGTCGGGCTGCCATGGGCGACGCCTCGCTAAGGGATCTCTACTCCCACGTCCTGGGCTACTTTGGACGAAAGACGACAACGCCAGGTGAGGCCTGCAACGAACCAAGTGCTCATAGAGGACACATCTGTGGACAGAAATACTCACCAATGCATAAACACCAGCAGCTCTTTTTTTCTTTTTGGCTGTTTTTAACTGGTTTGTTATGATGGAATGAATTTTTTTATTTTTATTTTTTTGGCTGAAACTCATCATCTTGCTGCTGGACTGAAACTCAGACCCCCACTCCCTGTTGATGTRTCTCCTCTTGAACGTAGCCCCTCCTCCAGCCTGCCTCCTTTTTGAGGACCCAACTTTCTCCCACATCCTTTCACTGTTTCTGTAGGTCAGAGCTCCATCCCTCCTCCTCCTCCTCCTCCTTCCTGTCTTCTCTGTTACGGGCTTTTGGGATTGTAACCTTTTCACCTCCTCCCCGTCTTCTCCATCTCCTCCCTTTCCTCGAGTTTTTGCATGCGGCCTCCTTGTGCCTCCTTCGCCTCCTCCGGAAATGGGCCTCTCCTCAGTTTGGCAGAAGGAAACTACTCAGAAGCACAACTGTCTGTGGGAAAAACAGAAACGCCAACACAAAGAAAACAGAAAAGGCTGCCAGATATTTTCTGGATTCTTAAGCTTTATTTGATGTCATTAGGACAGAAATAAATCAGCCTTGCACTGTAACTGATAAAACTGTAGTTCATTCCCACTCCACTAGACTGCAGCATTAGACCTTCTTGTTTGTGGTAATCGTAGAAAATGGTAATTAAAACATGTATACAGTTTACTGAAATGGTTATTTGCCTTGTTATTGGTAAACGGTTACACAATGCTTTGCAGCTTTTGCTTATAAATCATTGTAATTGTGCAACAGAACTGCACAAATGTGTCTAAATATTTTTTGTAAGAGCACTGAGATTCACTCCACGAATCTGTCTTGATGTGACGTTTCTGTTTCCAAAGTGCCGTGTCTTCATTACTTACTAAATTCACTTGTTTTGTTTGGCAACATCTGCCAGCTGAGTTTTTAATTAGTTTGGCACGTCAGTAATACAAATCCACCCTGAAAAACTTCTGACAAGATTCCTTGTAGAAGTTATGTTTATGATTAACAAGAGTTCATCAGCATTAGTTTATATTGTGTTTTTTTCCTAAAGATCTAATTAAATGGTATAATTTGGGTAATTAATTTTGTGTCAGGGTTCTAAAGATTTAACACAAACTACATATGTGGCTAAGAAATGTTAGCATGGCTGTGCTAATTCATTGAGCTTGATAGCCTATTTTTTTAATTAAAGGGTTTTAGTTGCAGAATGGTGTGTATTTGTTTTTAGATGTATATTTTTTACTAACCCTAGCTAGTTAAGCAGTTTGTGACCGCTCCCAGTCCTTAGCAGCCTGTGAATCATCATGAGTGATTTTTATTGTCAACCCAAATCTCATACTTGTCTATTTATTTACCTATTTGTCTATTCAGGCAGGACATTTTGTGTCTGCACTTGTCTGACTGCTTCTGTCTTGCTGAGATGATTTGGCTCATTTTATGATGGATCTGGAGATCAACTGAATTATCTTGAGTCCCTCAGCCATTTTGTCTTGTAAAACTTATTAAACGTTGAAACAAGGAAGTTGTAGGATTTGGGGGTAAAATAATAAAACTTGGATTTTATGGCAGCAAAGCATCAAACAAGTTAGCACAGGGTCATGCTTACCACTATGAAGCATCTTTGAACAAGTTTGTAAACAAGATTGTAGAGGGATGTTGTATTCTAACTATTCAACAATTTGAGGATTATTTGCTGCATTTTTCTGCAGATGTTGTCTAAAACCTACATATATTGTTTTGCATTGCTGCCAGAAGCACTAATGTACCCCCATACTATCAGAGAGGCTGTCTTTTAAACTGAGCATTGATAACAGGTGGGACTTTTTAGTACAGAGGACATAGTGAACATGACTTCCAAAAAAAATCTGGTTTTGATTTAATTTGACCTCAGTCCTTTTTAAATGAACTCAAGTCCAGAGAAGATGGTGGCGTTTTGGGATGTTTTTTTATTTCAAAGTGGTACAGTTTCTCGGTTTCAACAAATATTATAGCTTTATGAGATTTGCAAATTGTTGATTTTTTTTGTTTAAGTTACATTATTCACAACAGCCGAATTTATTTAGAATTTGAGTTGTATTTAACTTTTCTAGCAAATAGTGTTGGCAAATAACCATTACAGTTGAATACGAATCAACGCGCTCAGAACTGTGATTGTTAACGTTAGAGAGTGTTTTTGAATAAGAAACTGTTTGTGTTTGATTCTGTGGGCTGAATTTAGTGTAAACCTTGTTTCACATTTGTTCTCGGCAGAGGCAGGTGTAATGTTGAAGCTTCAGGGCATGACATTTTGAACAAAGCTCGTTTTGTTCTCCATTAAGTGGCCATTGTGTTTAAAAGCCGGCCTGATGGCTGGAGCGTAAACAGTTTTATTTTGTGTTGGTATCTTTAAGCTTTATTGACCAAAGTTCTTCCTGGTATTGAGCCGAAGGCAACCGAGCTTTCAGCCACAGATTCAGGACTACAGATTAGTTGGTCAGCAGTAAGGGCAGTAGATTTAGATGTTTGGTGAAGCCACTCAGATCGCTGTCTTTGCATCAAAACTAACATAAAAACAGAACTGCACTAAAATAGGCTTCTAGTTTTCTGCTTGGTTAGTTCTAACAAAGTTTAACACTCTTGTTTTTTGTGCATGAAGTGAGTTTATTCCTGCATTGCTTCTCTGGGTTGGAATGTGCCTGCTGTTGTTGATTTTTTTTTTTATATTATTTAATTTTTTTTATTGAATAACCTTCAGATCCAGAGTACATTCACATCAGGACTGCTCTTACAATTTAGATTCTTCCATGACTTAATTAGTGTAATTTTATGTGATGATATCATTATTAAAAATCGTATTTATGCTGTTTATTATGCACCTGATAATAATGTTTGTAAGAACTGTTTTATATGTGGACCACTCATGAAATATCTCTGCTTAGGCACAATATGCAGTAACGCTTCAGCTTTTCTTCAGTGAGGATTAAATTTGATCTTTGACTGTTTGCTTGCTCGTGTGTGTAGCCAACAAGGAAGAGGTGGTCCAGAAGGCTCGTCCAGTCTCCAGCGACGTCGGAAGCAGCAACCCAAACTTCTCTGACCTCATGGACGAGTTCATCCAGGAGAGACTGAGAAGCAAAGGGACGGTGGTGAGTACGTCACCTTTACAAGGTCRTTATTAAAAATCACAAATTATCAGAGCTACAAACGTTTCTTTCGGGCGTGCAGGGGCGTCGTGGCAGCAGCCCCATTAGTCTGGAGGTTCCCAGAGACCTGCCAGAGCTCCTGGAGGCCGGTCAGGGTTCCGGGTCACGACCCAGTGACGACCATCGACCCGTGGATGACGGCGTTCCCTCCGAGTGGACGTCACCCGCAAGTGCAAGCGGTTCTGATGTTGTCAGCTCCGACAGCCAATCAGACTCCTTTAATGCCTTCCAGTACTCGGCCTGCAAATTTGACAGTAAGGAACTGTATCATTTTCTAACACACTCATTATGTGACCTTGAAATTAAAAAAATAAAAAATCTTTTCATTTCCTTTTTTAAAAAAAGTAACTGCTAGAATTTTAATTTACTCATCCC